CCCCTCACTCCTTCTATATCTGATCTCCCCTTTCCCCATGCCCCACCATGTCATTAATTGTCTTCATATCAAAGTTGAATACATAGGATTCCTACTTCTCCATTCCTGTGATGCTTCACTAAGAATAATGTGTTCCACCTCCATCCAGGTTATTACAAATGCTGTAAAATCTTCTTTTTTTGATGGCTGAATAATACTCCATAGTGTACATATGCCACAGCTTACCAATCCGTTCCTGGGTTGAAGGACATTTAGGCTGTTTCCATGTTTTAGCGATTGTAAATTGGGCTGCGATAAACAGCCTAGAACAACTGTCTTTATAGTAAAAGTTTTGTTTTTTTTTTCTTCTGGATAGATGCCCAATAGTGGGATTGCAGTATCAAATGGGAGGTCTAGGTTGAGTTCTTTAAGGTTTCTCCATACTTCCTTCCAAAAAGGTTGTATCAGTTTGCAGTCCCACCAGCAGTGCAAGAGTGTTCCTTTCTTTCCACATCCGTGCCAGCATCTGCAATTTTGAGATTTTGTGATATAGGCTATTCTTGGTGGGGTTAGATTATGTCTCAGGGTGGTTTTAATTTGCATTTCTCTAATAATTAGAGATGAAGAGCATTTTTTCATATAGTTAGTAGCCATTCATCTATAGGCTTTAGAGAAGATTCTGTTCATCTCTCTTCCCCATTGATGTATGGGGTTGTTTGTTTTTTTCTTGTAGATTAATTGAAGTTCTGCATAGATCCTCGTTATTAGACTCTTGTCAGATTCAAAATATGCAAATATCCTTTCCCATTGAGTAGGTTGTCTATTTGATCTGGTTATTGTCTCCTTTGTTGTACAGAAACTTTTCGGTTTCATAAGATCCCATTTCTTTAGTATTGCTGTTGTTGCTATTGCCGTGGCAGTCTTCCTCATAAAGTCTTTCCCCAGGCCAATATCTTTCAGTGTTTTTCCAATTCTTTCTTTGGGGATTTTTGTTGTTTCATGCCTTAGATTTAAGTCCTTTATTCATCTTGGATCAATTTTTGTGAGTGGAGAAAGGTGCAGGTCCAATTTCAGTCTTTTACATGTAGATATCCAATTCTCCCAGCACCATTTATTAAATAGGGAGTCTTTCACCCAGTGAATGCTCTTGTTTGGTTTATTGAAGATTAAGTGGCTGTAAGTTGTTGGTTTCATTTGCAGATTTTCTATTCAATTCCAAATATCTATGTCTCTATAAAAGTTACTTTTTTTAAACATTCAACTTCCCTACATAATTAGACTGAAGTAAATTTCTCACAGACAAAAGGAATCAACTTAAGTTCATTAATATGTTCTGCTAAATTCTTTTAATTGGTTGTTTAGGTTGTTTACATTTAATGTAATTATTGGTATGTTAGTTTTATGGCTATAATTTTTGTGTGTGTTCTGAGGGCTTTTTCTTGTCTCTTTATCATCTTTTTCCTGTTTATCTGTGGGTCATTTTTCATTTTAATTTCTCTATAGTGATTTGGAGTATATTTCTTTGTATAGATTTTTTAGTTAATATTCTATGTATTACGCAGACATGACTTATCACAATACTCTGGTTTCATCATTTTACCAATTTGGAGAAAGCATAAAATTTTTACTTTCCTTTATCTCCTTTTGCCTCTCCATTTATAATACACTTTTGTATTTAATTTACATACATTTCAAGTCATAGCCTGAGACTGTTGCAATTTTTGCTTCCAATATCAAATATAATTTAGAAACTCAAAAAGAGAATAAAAATATATTATATTTAAGCCTATTTTTTCTTACCATGTACTTTCTCTTATCCAATGTTCTTATGTTCCTTCTTTTATCATTTATTTTGGTTTAGAGAATGCGTTAGGGATTCTTTTTGAATAAACCTTGAGGTGACAAAGTCTGTTAGTTTTATTTCATCTGAGAATGTTTTGATTTCTCTTTCATTCCTGAAGAATATTTTTACTAAATGTGGGATTCTGAATTGAAAATTATTTTCTTTCAGCACTTGAAAAATACTAAGCCAGGAGTGGTGGCTCAGGCCTGTAATCTTAGATTTTGGGAGACTGAGACAGGAGGATCACCTAAGGTCAGGAATTTGAGAGCATCCTGAGCAACATAGCAAGACACCATCTCTTATTTAAAAAAAAAAAAAAAAAGGCAGAAAAATGCTAAACCACACCCTTCTGGTTTTTTTTTTTTTTTTTTTTTTTTTTTTGAGACAGAGCCTCAAGATGTCCCCCTGGGTAGAGTGCTATGGCTTCACTGCTCACGGCAACCTCCAACTCCTGGGCTGAAGCAAGTCTCCTGTCTCAGCCTCCCAAGTAGCTGGGACCACAGGTGCCCACCACAGCACCCGGCTATTTTTTGGTTGCAACCATTACTGTTGTTTGGTGGGCTCAGGCTGGATTTGAACCTGCCACCTTAGGTGTATGTGGCTGGCACCTTAGCCGCTTGAGCCACAGGCGCCAAGCCATCCTTCTGGTTTTAATGAGACATCACTGTCACTTGAATTATTTTTCTCTTACAGGGAAGGTATGCTTTTTTCAATATTTTTCTTTTTGGTCTTTAATTTTTTTTTGTTTGTTTTTTTGAGACATAGTCTCCCTTTGTGATCCTTGGTAGAGTGCCATGACATCATAGCTCACAGCAACCTCAAACTCTTAGGTTCTATTGATCCTCTTGACCACAGGCTGCCACTATACCACCCAACTATTTTTAGAGACAGGTTCTTATTCAGACTGGTCTTAAACTCCTGAGCTCAGGCAATCTACTCACCTCAGCCTTAGAGAGTCCTAGGATTACAGACATGAGCCATCATGCTTAGCCTTGACTTTAATTTTTATATATTTGACCACATTGCATTTTGGTGGGAATTTCCTTAAATTTATCCTGTTTGAAAATAGCTTAGTTCCTTGAATCTGAATGTTTACATGATTTTCCAAATTTGGGAACTTTTCAGCCATCATTGCTTTGAGTACTTTTTCAGTTTCACTCTCTTTCTCTTATGATTCTAATGAGATTAAACAGCTCAAAGTTTAATTTTTTTTTTTGTTAAAGTCTCACCATTTAGGTTTTTGGTTTTTCAGTCAGTTTTAAAATGTTGTTCTACCCGAATAATTTTTATTTCTTTGTCTTCCAGTTAATTGATTCTTTGTACTCTCCAATTTTCTGTTGAGCTAATCCATGTCATTTCTTTTCAGTTTTCATATTTTTCAGTTCTAAAATTTTCATTTGGGCTGGGCGCTCAACAACTCAGTGGTAGGGCATCAGCCACATGCACTGGGCTGATGGAAAAAAAATGGAAAAAAAAATCCATGTATTGTAGTGGGCACCTGTAGTCCCAGCTACTTGGAGGCTGAGGCAAGAGAATCACACCCAAGAGTTTGAGGTTGCTGTGAGCTGTGACACTACTACACTCTATAGAGGGTGACATAGTGGACTCTGTTTCAAAAAATAAATAAATAGATAAAATAAAGTTTTCATTTGGTATCTTGTTATGTTTTCATTTCTGTGCTGATAGTTTCTATTCATGTTTTTATTTGTACCAACTATGTTTATAATTACTCACTGAAGTACTTTTATAATGGTTGCTTTAAATACCTCTGACACATTGGTGTAGGCATCTATTGACTATTATTTTTAAAAATTTGGTTTGAAATCTTCCTGGTTTTTTCTATTACAAGTATTTAAAATTGAAACCTGTGTGGCACTAGCCGCATACACCAGAACTGGTAGGTTCGAATCCAGCCCGGGCCTGGTAAACGTTAATGACAACTGCAACAATAAAATAGCTAGGCATTGTGGTGGGTGCCTGTAGTCCCAGCTACTCAGGAGGCTGAGGCAAGAGAGTTGCTTAAGCTCAAGAGTTGGAGGTTGCTGTGAGCTGTACACCACAGCACTCTGCTGAGGGTGACAAAGTGAGACTCTGTCTCAAATAAAAAAGAAAAAAAATTCAAGTCTATCTTTCTAGTGCTGCTGGTGCTGTATGTTTAGTGAACTGCTAGTAAAACCAGACATGCGAGATACTTGGACATGTTTAATTCTTCCCTATCCACATGCATAGGAGACAGCAAGACATACATGTCATGACAATTTCCTCTACTTCTGTTTTGTTCCTATGATCGCTTTGTTATATTTCTAGTCTACTGATTTCTTCAACAGCTTCTAGACTTCTCTATTTGCTTACCCACCACCAAGATTACTACTTTGGCTGACAAAGCTGCTGAGTATGGTTTGTTTTCTGTTTGTTTGGGTGTTTATTTTGCCTTTTATTTAGAAGCAAATGAGTTTCTATAGTGACAAAGCCAAGGGTCTTCAGGGCCTTGCTCATCCTGAGCTCATGACTGACCTAGGGTAGTGAGATCAGCTGCATGCAAGAATACAAGGATTCTCATTGTATTTACCCCAGATTCAGCAATTTCTTCTGAATTAACACATCTCATTTAGTTTTTTGCCATTAGTAGATTTCCTGAGCCCTGAACTATTTGTTTTTGAAAATATGTTTCAGTTTTAGAGATTTCCCCCCCAACACACTGCCATTCCTGGAAAATTCTACTGTACTTATTCTTTTATTTCAGGTAGCACTTCTGAAAAATACGGAATGCTTCAGGAATTTGTGTGTTATCCTTGTGCAGGGGTCATGCTAATCTCAGTGTCAATCCAATTTTAGTATATGTGCTGCCAAAGCAAGCACTATTATACTTAGTTTTAAACTTATTCCTACTTTAAGTGGATCAGGCATGGTCATAGCAGTAATGCACTTCATTTTATAATATGTCCTATAAAGAATGGCTATAGTTTATCTATTTACATATTGTTAGCCAGCAAAATTTTTACCTTTTTTATCAATATACCTTTAGCTAATTTGTCTTCATATTAGTGGCATCTGTGATGAGGTAGAAGCCAGACAAAGGTTCTTGACCTGAATCTGATGGACATAGAGAGAAAGTGTTTATCATTGACTGTGTGAAAAAATATTCTCACATTCTAAAACCTGGCCCCTAAAATAAGCATCAAAATCCCCTCTAAAATACTGAGAAAATGAATATTATCTAGGAAAAGAATATACGGTTCAGAAAAAATAAAAGTCAGTATAATTGGTCTGCTTTATCTGCATAGCTTATACACGTATATTTTTTCTGTTTCCTGATTCTTTTAGCTCAACTCTCAAGCCCTATTCTTTATTACCTTTTTAATGTAAGAGATTAGTAAAATTAGATTAGCAAGTAAATTCTCTGTGGGAAAAATGGAAGATGAAGGAAAATTATACATAAAGAAACAAAAAGCAAACAAGACAGCTATACATAAAAGGTTTCAACAACTTAAAACAAAGGATGATAATTGTGCTGAACTTTCTTTGTCTTTTTAGAAAAGTAGATGGAAGAAACAGATGTTATCACTGCTAGAAAGAAGGGGAATCTGCACCTGTGGCCAGCCCTGGAAGGTGCTCTGCATGAATGCTTTGTGGCTGAAGCTGTGAGCACACCCATTTCTGTACTCAAGCATTGCGGCCACTGAACTGAAAGTGAAGCTCAGTCTGTACTGCACTTGACCCCAACACTGGCAATTCTCCAGGCCTAGATTTAGAAGCAAAACCCAAATGAGTCTCCGGCATTATATTTAAAATATTGACTAAGTAATCTCTTAAATTACATTGATTTGCTCTAATTTGAAAAATAAGTGAAATATAAGTTTACATGTGAAATAGAATTACCACTGTATGTCAAAAATTTGTCTAGAGGTGACATTTTCCTAAGGATGGGTCTTAAATTTGTTCAAATTGATTAAACAATAGGTATTAGAATTTTAAAGAGTTGCTGAACCTCCTTGGGTTTTGAAGATGCCACCTCTTTGGGGTTATTCCTCAAACTGAAGAACTTGTGCTCGATGTGAAAGTATTATTTGTTAGCCTCCCATTCATTTGCTTTTCTCCTAATTGAGCCCAGTGTGAGGTAAGACTTTACAAACAGCCTTGTATATACTGCCCTTTTTAAACCATGACTTTTACATTACCAATCTCCTGGAATCAATTTTCCTGACTTTGTTGGTTGAACAGTTCAATCTAAGGGGTAGTAGCAGGAATAAAGAATAAAATAAGCCGGTGCCCTAGGAAAAACGACACAGACAGAACTTAAGTGCACCTCTTTCTCTTCTTCACTTAGCAAGTTGCAGTATGCTCAAAAGGTGGCAAACCTTGGTGGACGGGCTTACAATCCTATTAAAATAGGAACAAAGCCATTCCTGTTGGGAAACAAATACCCTTTGTAATTGTTTTTAAATGCCTGGCATTCATGGTTGCACAGCACATATAATCTTAGCAGTGGTACATTTCTGAGTTTGATTATCCTATAGATTAAAATCTGACAGACAATGCCTTGACAGAAATTGAACTGACTTACTCTTATAAGTATGGTCTTACTGTTATAATTCTAAGGGGCTTCTTATTGAGCTGTAACTCTGATTTGGAATGTTTTATCTTATAGTCTATAAAAATTATAAATAAAACTTTATAATATGTTTTATGTAGTCAAAGTTCCTAACTCCTTTTATTTTTATTTCCTACATTTAGAAAGTTTAATGTCAAAATTCCAGCTAAAAACCTCTCAATTTCAGAAAATCTTCTCAGACTTAGTTATTTAAAGACAACTTTCCCTTTTAGTATGAGGCAGATGTTTGACATTTTAAAATAATGGAGTTTTTAAAATTTCAAGTTAATAAGAGGGTACAAATGTTTAGGTTACATTATTTTCAATTCTAAGATAAATTCAAGTTGTAGTTGAGCCTTTCACCCACAGGGGGTGCTGAACGCTCTTACATTCTGCACATTAGGTGAGATGCCACCAATTTACCTCTAGCCGTCCTCTCCTCTCTCCTTTCTCTCTCTCTGCTTCCCTTTGCTAGAATCTATTTGTGTTTTATCTTTTGTAGGGGTGTGTAGTTGTTTATATATTGGTTTGGTATTAGTACTGAGTACGTTGGATTTTCTTTTTCCATTGTTGAGATACTTTACTAAGAAGAATGTCTTTCAACTTCATCCAGGTAAACACAAAAGATGTACTTATGGCTGAATAGTACTCCATGGTATACATATGCCACAGATTGTTAATCTATTCATGGGATGATGGATTTTCAGTTGCTTCCATGACTTGTCAATTGTGAATTGAGGTGCAGTAAACATTCTGATGAAAATGTACTTGTTCCAGCCTGAGCAAAAAAACCTAGAAAAGTGAGACCCCATCTCTACTAAAATTAGAAAAACTGAGGCAAGAGGATCACTTGAGCCCAAGAGTTGGTTGCCATGAGCTATAATGCCAAGGAACTCTATGTAGGGTGACAGCTTGAAGCTCTGTCTCAAAAATCAAAAAAAAAAAAAAAAAAAAAGAAGAAGAAGAAGAAGAAGAAGAAAAAGAAGAAGAAGAACAAAAGAAAAGAAGAGAAGAGAAAATGTCCCTTGGAAAAATGATCTTTCTTCTTCTGCATAGATACCAAATGATGAGGTTGTGGGATCAAAAGGAAGGTCAACCTTTAGTTCTATGAGAAGTCTCCATATTTCTTGCAATCCCACCAGCAGTATAGATGTGTTATCTTCTCTCCACATTCATGCCAGCATTGATAGATTTGAAACTTTGTGATGTGGGCTAATCTCACTGGAGTTAGGTGATAGCTTAGAGTAGTTTTAATTTGCATTTCTCTAATGACTAGATATGATGAGAATTTTTTCATGTGTTTGTTGGCCATCCATCTGTCATCTTCAGAGAAGTTTCTGTTTAGGTCTCTTGCCTAATTACAGAGGGGGTTGTTTGCTCTTGTTCATAAGTTTTAATTCTCTCTAGATTCTAGTTCTCAGTCCTTTCTTAGATTCATAACATGCAAAAATCTCCCATCTGAAGGCTGTGTGTTTGTTTAGTTGTGGTACTCTTAGCTATGCAGAAGGATTTTTGCTTGAACAAATTCCATTTATTGATTTGTGGTTCTGCAATTGCCAGAATGATTTTTCTCATAAAGTTTTTTCCCAAGCAATTTTGTCAGGTGTTTTCCCCACATTCTCTTCTAGAATTTGTTATATGTCTGAAATTTTAAACTTTTATCTAGTGAAAGACAATTTTTGTCAATGATGAGAAATATGGGTCCTGGTTCAGACTTCCACATGCGGCTAATCAGTTCTTCCAGTACTATTTATTAAACAAGGCTTCTTTTCCCCAATATGTGTGTCTGTTTGGTTTATCAGAGATCAGTTGGTAATATATGGCTGAGTTCATCTCCAGGTTCTCTTTTCTGTTTCCTAGATCTATATCTCTATATTTGTGCTAGTATCATGTTGTTTTGATCCTGATAGACTTGTAGTATAACCTGATGTCTGGTCAGAGTTATGTCTCCAGATTTGTTTTTACTTCTAAAACTTGTATTGGCTGTTCAGGTTTTTTTCTGGGTGCGTATAAAAGGAAGTACTATTTTTTTCAAGTTCTTCTAAGTATAATGTTGGTCCTGTGATGGGATTATAAAAGGCTTTGGGTAGTATGGACATTTTAACTATGTTGATTCTTCCCAGCCATAGGCATGGTATATTATTCCATTTGTTAATGTTTTCTGATATTTCTTTCTCAGGATTTCATGGTTCTCTTTGGAGAGATTTTTCACATCCTTTGTTGGATATATTCCCAGGTATTTTTATTCTTTGGGGTTACTGTAAAAGGTATTGAGTTTTGGATTTTATTTTCAGCTTGACTGTTATTGGCATATATGAAGGCTACTGATTTGTGGGCATTGATTTTTTTTATCCTGAAACATTGCTATATTCCTTGATCAATTCCAAGAGCTTTGTAGTTGAGTTCCTGGGTTTTCCAGGTATAAGATCATATCATCCACAAAGAGCTGGATTTTGACCTCCTCTCTCCTTATTTGAATACCCTTGATCACTTCTATTGCTTGATTGCAATGACTAGGACTTTTAGCACTATGTTGAACAGCAGTGGCAATAGTGTGCATCCTTATCTAGTTCCAGATCTGAGTGGAAATGCTTTCCGTTTTAGTCCATTCAGTATGATATAGCTCATGAGTTTGTGGTAGTTTGTCCATACTACCCAAAGCCTTTTACAATCTCCATCAAAAGACCAGCATCATACTTAGAAGAACTTGAAAAAAATAGTACTTCCTCTCATATGCAACCAGAAAAAAACCTGAAAAGCCAATACAAGCCTCTATCAGATTAAGAAATGTCCCAACTAAGCCTATTTTCTCAAGTATTCTTTTCATAAAAGATGATGGATATTGCTAAAAGCCTTTTCTGCATCAATAGAAAGATCATATGGTCTTTGTTTTTGATTGTATTTATGTGGTGAATTACATTTATGGATTATATATGTTGAACCTACATTATTTTCCTGGGATAAAACCTACTTGACCATGATTCATAACTTTTTGATGTGTCACTGTTTTCTCTTTGCTAGGACCTTAACGAATATTTTTTGCATTAATATTTATTAATATTGGCCTATAATTTTTTTTTGGAGGGGTCACCTCCCTGGTTTTGGAATCAGGGTGATGTTTGTTTTGTAGGATGGGCAGGGGAGGATTTCTTCCTTCTCTATGGTTTGGAATAGGTGAAGTAATATAGGTACTAGTTCTTCTTTGAAGGTTTGGTCTAATTTTGGTGGTCAAGGGCTTTACTTTTTTTGGAAAACTTTGTATTGTTGA